CCCGACGCGAGGTCCCGACCGGACCGTCGAGACAGGCCACCGGGAGACCTCGAAGGACGCCGCCCGAGATCCCCGACATCCGGACCCCCGAACCGAGCCGTGACGGCCCCGAGGCCACGGCTTAAATAGATACCACCGCATCATTTTGGCGCTAGAAGGAGGGCCTGAATGTCGAGGGATCCTCATACTGATCCCGACGAACTCCCTGCCGAGGGATCGTTCTTAGCAGGGGCGCAGGCTGTGCGTCCCTTGCGTGACGGGCCGTAGGCTGACGACCTCCCCGCGACCTCGGAACGCTACTGGCGTTCATTCGACAACCCGGATCTGCTTCCGCCCGAGGGCGCCCCGAGCATCCCCTCGCCGGTGTCATCCGAGGCCTTTCACGACCTCGCTCGTCAAGTCTGAGCTCTAACGGATATGGTGCAAACCATCATCCCGCTCGTCTCCCAACCGACACCCCCGCTTATGATTCAGTCGCTACGGCAACAAAACCGCTCGCCCGGGCCCACATGATGCTTCCGGAGCCTCCCACTTCGCCTCGGGTCCGACCGACCCCACTCGGGGATCCAGTGATGGCAGACCCGAGCGGCCGCCCAGAGCCCGAGGGTGCTTCCCACGACCCTGAGGGGTCCGACCTGCACATGGTATAGCGGCCTGAAGATCGGAACGATCACTTCCTTCGGCCAACTCGCCAAGGACTTCGAGCTCCACTTCGCAGCCCATGCCTGACCAAAGCCCTCCACGGCACTGCTCCTCGGACTCAAATAAAGGGAGGACGAGCCCCTCTCCCAGTTTGTGGATCGTTTTGCCACGCAAATCCGAGGCCTGCCGGACACTCACCCTTCTCTGTTAGTGCAGGCATTTATGATGGGCCTGCGACCTTCCAGATTCCTCTGGTCCCTCGCGGAGCGACCTCCCACTACGGTGCCAGAGATGCTCCAGCGGGCTGACCGGTACGTCGCAGCCGAGGCCTGGGCGGCCGAGACGAGAAGGGACGACTTCCGACCGCGGGCTCCATAAGAGAGGCTAAGCACCCGCGGTGGCTACCCGATGTAGTCCCAGGAAAAAAAAGTCTAAGCCTTGCCTCAGCCTCTTCCGAGCGAAGGTTCATCATTTACCTGGCTACCTCCCGGCTCACGGTTAGCCCCGGCTTAAACCCTTCTGAATCTACACGGCTCGGCCGTAGACTACCCGAGTCTACCTCAGTGCGGCCTGCCCGCCTGAGCCGTGTCCTTGCCGAGTCCACCTCAGGGCGGCCCGCCCGCCTGAGTCGTGATCCTCGGCCTTTGCCATATTTCTCGGCCACCGACTGCCGAGCTCACTGCAGCGCGGCCTGCCCGCCTATGTCGTGCTACTCAGCCGCATGGTGCCCGAAACCACGCCTGCGCGTTCTGCCCGCTTGCCCGCCTATGTCGTGCTACTCGGCCGCATGGCCTCGCGACCACGCCTGCGCGTTCTGCCCGCCTGCGTCGTGCTCCTCGGCCGCATGATGCCCGAAACCACACCTGCGCGGCTAGCCCACCTGCGTCGTGCCTCTTGGCTCACGGTTAGCTTCGGCCTAACCCCCCTCTTTTTGCATTCGCACGGCTCGGTCGTAGACTGCCCGAGTCCACCCCTGCGCGGCCCGCCCACCTGAGCCGTGTCCCTCGGTCTCAGTCTGCCCGAGTCCGTCTCAGCGCGGCCTGCCCGCCTAAGCGGTGTCCCTTGGCCACACCGTCGAGATGCACCTCAGCGCGGCCTGCCCACCTGAGCGGCGTCCGCACGACCACAGTCTGCTTGCGCCGAACACCTCGGCCACGGTGCCCGAGACCGCGGCAACGTGTTGCCCGAGACCACCTCTGATCGGCTTGCCCGACGGAGATGTGCTCCTCGGCTTCGTGTCGACCGAGACCACGCCCACACGGCCTGCCCGCCTATCGTACCCCTCGGCTCATAGCCCGAGTCGCTCCAGTTCGATCTCCGACTTGCGACTCGCCGGCTTGGCTCATAGCCCGAGTCGCTCCAGTTCGATCTCCGACTTGCGACTCGCCGGCTCGGCCCATGACCTGAGACACGCCAACGCGGCCTACCCGCTTGCGTCGTGCTCCTCGGCAACACGTCGCCCGAGACCACGACCTCTGCTCGGCTTCCCGGTTGAGATGTGCTCCTCGGTCGCACGTTGCCCATGACCCAATTCACACCCGCGCGGCCTGCCCGCCTGCGTCACTGCTCCTCGGCTCCTCGGCCACACGTCGCCCGAGACCACGGCCTCTGCTCGGCTTCCCGATTGAGATGTGCTCCTCGGTCGCACGTGCCCATGACCCAAGACACACCTGCGCGGCCTGCCCGCCTGCGTCACTTCTCCTCGGCTCATAGCCCGGGTCGCTCCAGTTCGATCTCCGACTTGCGACTCGCCGACCTGGCTCATAGCCCGAGTCGCTCCAGTTCGATCTCCGACTTGCGATTGGCCGGCCCAGCTCATAGCCCGGGTCGCTCCAGTTCGATCTCCGACTTGCGACTCGCCGGCCCAGACCATAGCCCGAGTCGCTCCAGTTCGATCTCCGATTTGCGACTCGCCAGCTCAGACCATAACCCGAGTCGCTCCAGTTCGATCTCCGACTTGCGACTCGCCGGCCCAACCTGCCCACCTGCCTCGTGCTCCTCGGCTCCGTACTATCCGAGACCACGCCTGCGCGGCCTGCCCGCCTGCGTCGTGCTCCTCGACCCCCTGCTGCCCGAGCTCACCACGGCACTACCAACCTTCCTTATTTGCTAAATCCGGACTCAGCCCCCGGTAACGAATCAGCAGCTGCTCTACGAGAACGATCACTAAAAGCTGAAGCCACACCTCGGACCCCTCTTACAACAACAGCCGATGCGTGGCTCCCTTCAGGGGGGGAATATGATGAGGGAAATAATGGCGACAAGACTGGGGCTGACGTCACCTGTCCCAGATGACGTATCACGCCTTAGCACCTGGTCAAACGGATCGGAACGCCGACCGAGGCACATTAAACAATCTGCCCAGGCTCGGTCTCGCACGCCACTCCAACGCTAGTGTCAGATGCTACCTGCTCCTGCAAGGGGGCACATCAGGCACAGTAAGCTTCCCTATAAATACCCTCGCATGCTAAAGGGGTAGGGGGGAGACACTCCAAACACTTCTTGATCTGAAACCCCCTCCACATCGCTAACTTGACCGTCGGAGGGGTCGGGTCGAGCTCCCGGCCCGACCTATGTGCAGGTACAAGACGGGGTCGACTCTTCCCGGCGCTGCACCGACGCACTCCCCCCGACGCGACGTCCCGACCGGACCGTCGAGACAGGCCACCGGGAGACCTCGAAGGACGCCGCCCGAGATCCCCGATATCCGGACCCCCGAACCGAGCCACGACGACCCCGAGGCCACGGCTTAAACAGATACCACCGCATCAGGTGTGTTTCTGATGAGGCCATGCTTATAGGAGAGGGTGCTTTGCATCCACTATCATATGCTCGGAGGCCATATTTATTGGAAGGGATGCCATGTGACTTTCATTGGGGTCATCCTCTGGGAGTTGTCGTCCATTTGCATCAATTTTTGTCCTTCCAGAATGAACTTTAAAAGTACCTTCGGGAATGAGGTGACTTTTGACTCTTTCTCTTCAACCAACTTAAAATTAGATCTCATCATTATCTATACAATAAACCAGTGTCGCACGACATACAAAGGTGACATTATGTGATCAACTCTAACATTAGTTAGCATAGTAAGATCAAGCTGGATTAATTAATTTTGATAAAAAATATATAATCAATCAATCATCGCCAATACCATATAAGGCTCATAGAGGAAAAAAAAAGGTCCAAATGACCCGGCACCCGTTTGCCCGCATGGATAGGAGTCAAAGAGGTAGCTCGGATCAGTTACCGAACTGTTTCCCTTGCAAAATATTCATAGAAATATTTTCGGGAGTCAAGGGGATAGTCGACCTACTAGACTCGATCCTAGAGGCATCGTTGCAACCTCGGTGGGAGGGTATAAGGGAGATGTAAAAGGTGTGGGGTGAAAGCCCAATTGCGGAGTAGTACTATCGCTGATCCCTATGCTCGAGGATGGTGAAGTAGCTCTACTGCTCCCCCTCGAATGTCCTAATCGATATTTTCTACCGAAATGAAGTGATAGTAAGTTAAGTTGCTACCAACTCCTTTCGCTTCGCTAACTTGTTTATTTTCGATTTGTAACATTACCACTATGTAACGACTCTCATTGATCGTGTCCGAGATGCTGGTGCCGTCATTCACCAGTAATCTATTATAATTGATGACCTTCGAGCTAAGGTCGAGGAGCTGAAGAAAGGGGGAGCTTCCTCTGCTATTGTCGAGGCGGAGGCTCAGGCAATTGAACTAACACGTCAATTGAAGGACGTTGAGCATCGCTTGGCTGGCCTTGCCGAGCAGTTGAAGGAGGTCGGAAGCCACAATCATGCGATAGATGACAAGCTTCTGTGGCTCACCTAAGAGCTAGACACGATGAATGTGTACAGCTCGGAGCTCTCCCAAGAGCTAGATACGGTAAAGACGCATAGCTCGGAGCTCACCGAGGAGGTTGCGATGATTACTAAAGAGGCCTACAAGCTAAAAAAAGCACTAGAGGGTGAACAAAGCCACATACTAGAGCAACAAGAGGAAGCTATCGTCGATTATAAGACGTTTGTCAATGTACGAAAGAGTTTGGAGAGGATGGGACAGGTTTCGAACCAATTTGATACCAAATTGCACTAAAAATAACTCATCATCAATATTTATTTTACACACGGTGAAGGCATGCTACTCACCCATCCCATTTAGATCTAATCTCATCACTTACCGTTTCCCAAAAAAAAAAAAAAAGTTTAGCAACAACTCTAGAGCTCAAAGAATTTATCAATATTTATTTTGCACACAAGAAAAAAGATATCTTCAATAACTACATTTGAAATTTTTTAATGCTACATTGATGAGATAGACATACTTTCATGCATTCAATCACAAAATAAAACTAATTAATTATATGTTGTGCCATTAAACGCAATTGATGATACAGACAACAATGAAGTTAGAAAGTCCGGACAACATCAATCCTTGTTTACATTGTAGACCTTAAAAGAATGATGAACAAACAAGTCCATCAACACCAAACCAAGCAAGCTTCCTGAATAAACATTGGGTGATGAAAAAGTTTACGGTCAGTGTACTGAGCAAGTGCCAAAGAACACTTTGATGACATGCTTGGAAGATCAAAGCACAAACCAATATCTGAAATAAGGTCACACTGTGGCAATTACTAATATTGCCAAACCCTGATCAAGTAAACATTATTCTTCCCATCCAATCCGACTTCAGCAGCTCAGATTCCCTATGGATTGTATCTCTCTTGGTGGAAAAGAAAAAGGCACTAGAATTGTGACTTGTCCAGGGAATCAAAGTAGGGGTGCTCCATTGCTGCTTTAGCTGAGATTCTGTTAGCTGGGTCGTATTGAAGCATTTTCTGAAAAAATTACCACGAAAAGAAGAGTCTGGTCAAGAATACAGTCCGTGAAAATGAATCATACAAGTTAAAATACGACACACTATTGTGTTGAAACAAGTAAATAAAAAACAAGTCAACTGGATTTCGGTATAAGCAATTTCAGATAAATAGTGGTGTAACATCATTGTGTTCGTATACACAGACTGTAATATTTGATTAATGGATTCTTCACATAATGAATGATAATCCTAACATGCATCATGTTACAATGATCAGAGCATCAAAATAAAACAAAGAACAAATATCCTTACTTCAGCAATCATAAATTATTCTTCTACTAGTCGAGCAACTATGGCAAGGCAACTGGAGGACATTACATCGGATATTCAAGAATAGAAAATATGATTTCTTATGTTGATGAAATTTGATATTTTGATCGCATAATATCACTCATTTATCTCCAAATTGGAAATGACATGTTCCTTGTGCTAGCATGAGTAAGAAGGAACAGGATCTTTTTATCAGTTTACAAGCCACCAATATTAATAGGAAACATGTATATAAGAAACTAATTCAGCTTAGCCTAAATCAATGATCTAACACTTGAAGAAAGCTTTCCAAGTTAACTATAAACATAAAACTGTTTACCGATAAAAGATCAACGCCTTCAGGTTCCAGTGCTGGAACTGCACGTGCCAAGTTCTGAGGTTTCCATTGTGGATAGGCATGCCAATCCCGCAGCGAGCCAACTCCAGGCCATTGCTCTTCAGTTGGAGTCCCTAACAGCCTTTATGAAAGAATGTCATGTCAACTTATGATACAGCAGCAACACGTAATGCAGAACATATCAGACCAGAGATATTGACACCATCAGTGCTTCTGTAAAAATACTTGGGTAAATGCTATTTATTGATCAATTAAACAGAGCTCAAATGCTAAAAGTGTTTCTAGTGCTATGCCTGGAAGATTGACAGCCACATTCAAACTTATATTTATGTAAAAAGAAAAAGAAATGAAGGAAGTCGGGGCTTGTAGTTTTAGTTATTCACATGAATTGTGGCTAGGTAACAGCATCAACTATTCATTAATCAAAAAAGAAACTTAATTTCACTATATATTTTCCAGAAGCCATGGGGATTTTGATATATCTTTTACGAGGAAAGGAATCATTAAATGTCATCAAATGCTTTCGGTGCAATGTTTTTCGAACATCAAACTTTTTTTTTGTTCAAATTCCATATCAGCATACTCAAGTGTAACTAAAACTTCGAGTCTACAAGTAAAACCCACTTATATATGTTTCCCACCAGCAATATTGACATTTTCAGGACCTGGTTGAATTACAGGTTAGCACACAAGTATGATGTGGAACTTTGGTGTACATCCTCCTTGATCAGAAACCCACACTAAATCAGGAAGGACTTTTTCAGGAGAGAACAAACCTGAAGATGTGAAGTAACTGCTGCAACTCGGAATCACCAGGAAAAAGAGATTGTCTTCGCACCATTTCAGCTGTGTCAATATGAGTACAAAGAGATAAGCAGCAGACAGATGTTCATATCTTGTAACCTAACTAAATCATGTAGATAGCCTTCCCTACAACAGTTGGTATATGCATTTCAAGGTCAGACTATAGCGTTCATGTAATTGAGAAGGAAACACCTTAAGATTATGTTGCATCAAGGACTCCAAGATATACTCAGAGAAGAACTTTAATCAATTGAATTAGGTTTTGCATTTCCCTTGAAGAGTGTTGCACTCTAAAATTGGAGAGACTTGTTCATCTCCCAGCAATGGCATGGTAAAAATATCAGATAAAGCATGCAATCCCTAAAAAGTGGTGGAGGAATGCAACAAAAATTTTCAGATGATGTATAAAATTTGAAGATAAGGTTCTATATCAGTTATCTCATAATAAATTTGTTACTGGCTATAGTGGCTAACATTTTTTGAGACTACAATAATCTGTTGACATCCTCAGTTTAAGAAAGCTATTTTTAATATGAAAAATCAAGTCATTTAAAATTTCTGGCAACATTTAACAAACCAATCAAGGAGCAGTAGTAAGATAGCCATTCAAGAGTAATCTCAACCAAGAATTTATTTTTCACAAATTTTCATATGAATCGGATAAGTTGAATTCTACAAGGTGGCAGTTGTGATATCTCAGGTATCTCAACCTCTAATATGTGCCAGGCTTCTTTTCTACAATTATAGGCCTCTTACATTGCATATGGACCTTGTTTTTGCAAGTTTATGTGTCTTTGTCTGCTTGGTTTAAATGGCATATAAGAGAATGGAACTGCCCATTATAAGATCAAAAGATCTGTTTGATATTTCAAGGTCTTTAGATTCAAGTGCCACCAGCTCTATGGTTCAAAATAGAAGCAAAAAGGAAGAAGAGGGTAAGAGATGGATGGAGGGAAGGAGGGAGGGAGGGAAAGATATAGGCCCTGCAGATTCCTTGCTGCAGACACAATCACCTTGCCTTAAATCCTTACCACCAGAGAGCTGGAGCACATCAAGAAAAGGTATATCCTAAAGTTGTTGGCAAACCATGGCTCCTTCTCACTAGATTTTAGTGGTTGGTAGTTTTCTCTTCTTTATTTTCTCTTTCTTGTTCCAATGGCCAGGTGGTCCGAGATGTTTTCTTCCGATGGCCAACTGACATCTCAATGCACGCGCATTGCATTAGTGGATAACCAAAATAGTGAGTGTCCACATTACAATGTTCTAATTGACATCACAAAAGAATTCCAATATGATAACTAAAATGTCAATCTTAATTCCTACTTCAAACTATCCATCCTAATCATTTCTTGTAGCTAGAATGAGTTTAAAGTTAACAAAAATCTAATATATATTAAACAAAATAAAGACATATATAGTTTAAGTCCAGGTATAGTAACAACAAAGCCCAAATAAAGCATATTATTTCCCATAAAGATTAACACTCTCATACCACAAATTTTGTGACACATAATTTTAATTAACTAGAAACGTTATTTTTTATGAGGGCCCATTTTATGAAAGAGACTTCATATTTTAGTGAACTAAAAGGTAGATATCATACCAAAGATACATCCTACAGACCATATATCCACTCCAGTTGAGTAGTGGGTTGTTCCCAACAAGACCTCAGGTGCTCTATACCAGAGAGTAACAATCTACATAGGAATGAAATTGTTAGTCCACAACATAACCAATAAAAAAAGCTAGCTACATAGCTTTGAAGTAGAAAGTAGCATTAACTTGAACAAATTGAAGGTAAAGCTAAAGAGAATTTCTAAACATGGAAATAGGTATAAATAAAGACCTCATGTGTGTAACTCTTCAAAGGGATTGTGAAGGCTCTTCCCAGCCCAAGATCAGCAATCTTCAAGATGCCCTTCTCTTTATCGACCAAGAGATTTTGAGGCTTCAGGTCCCTGGTTCCATCGTATTACACCGGGCATAAGATATATGGTACTCATGGCATGGTTCCCTTCAAAATCAAGATAGGGCAAAGAACCAGTAGAGAAAAGAACCTGTGGAGCACGCCATGGCTATGACAATGTGCAACTCCCTTACACAACTGATACAAAAAGCTCTATGGTACAAAAAAGGAGAGAGTTATTTCTTTCTAACAATTACAAGGCCATTTTAAATAGTTGAAAAGGACTGAAATTTCCAAAAAAAGACAATGAACTAGCCAAGTCTATTCATACATTAAAAAAAAAATCCTTCCGTAGTTCTATCTCGAACTTTCAAAATTAGATTTCAATACCATAAACATGAAATTGAAATAAAATATAACCATGAAATTCTGATACATGGTGAAACAATAAAACAAGAATTTAATTTTTTTGGAAAATTCTGATAAAAAAGAGGCATAATGTTGAACACAGTAAGCAACAATGTGTGAGGATTTTATGATTCGAATCTCTAACTTGCAGGCTTTAGAAATCAAATTACAACACCCTATTAATTCATCGTAGTAAAAATAGATTAGGATCTGCTGGGATCCACAAAGACCATATTTCTGGACCCGAAGGAATTCAAGATCAGAAAAGGCTTTTCTTGTTCCCATTTGCAAAATTTAATGTACGCAAAAACCCACAATTCGAAGGTCAAAAAGAGAAGCACCTGAATGACTGGGGAGGGGATCGACCTGGGGTTTGTTCCCCTGCGATGAGAGTCGATGAACTTCTTGAGATCAGTATCCAAGTATTCGAACACCAGATAAAGCAGCGGCTTTCCGTTTTTCTCTACTTGCTCCACATTCAGCAACCTAACCAACCAATAAAACATCCCAATAACAAAGAATTAACCTTCCTTAAGGAAAAAGAAGCAACAATGCGAGAGCAAGGGAGTACCGGACGATGTAGATGGAGCGGGATAGGAGTTGGAGGAGTGAGATCTCGCGGAGGGCGGTAGGGGGGATGCCCTCCTCGTCCATCTCGAGGCGAGTCTTCTTGAGGGCGACGAGCTGCCCCGTGGCCTTGTCCTGCGCCTTGTACACCTTCCCATACGTCCCTTCCCCAACCTTCTCCAGCTTCTCGTACTTTTCCATCGCGCGCCCCGCAAGACCTACTCCTCCGATCTCGACCGATAACCCTCCTCCCAGACCCCAAGAACCCTAGATCGGGAAGAGAGAGATGGAGCGGACGCCAGCCCTGTTTTGAATTGCTGTAGAGAGAGAGGAGGGGGGGAAGAAATAGTGCGTGTGTGTGAGAGGGGTATAAATGTAATTTTACGTGAATTTATTACTGTAAAACTGGGCTGGAAACAGGTGGCGGTTTGATGGGCTTATAAAAGTTGGACGGCCCAACGGCCAGCGGGCGCGTGTCCCCAACGGTCGATCCGTTCAAATTTCAAAATGGGTGAGTCAGATGTCGTTGCTTCCGTCGTGACGCTTCGGTTCGATGACAGTCTTATAGCACTTCAAGTTGCATTCCACTTACGGAACGACTTTGGGTACGAGTGAGGAATGTGGCACCAATAAAATAAGCATAGTTATTAAAATCCGACCAAACTGATTGTTAGATCGATTGCGTTAAAAAATTGAAACAAATCAATTGAACAGATCGATTTTTGGATTAACCATATGAACCGACGGAATTAAATAAAACCCATCCAATTTTATAATATAACTTATATTACTTAAACACCTTTAACTTAAACATTTATTGTTATTTGTTTTAAGAATATTTATATTAATTAAAATTAAATTAAGGTGAGAAAAAAATATCATTTTTCCTTTTTCATTAACCTCTTTTCGTCTTACTATCTATTATTCTCTTTTTATTTATATGTCATTCTTTTTCTACGTCTTATCTATCTCGAGTGTTGATAATAAAAAATACATAACTAATTAAATTATATATTTATTTTATAAAAAATAAGTGATGAATTAAAGATTCAAGTCCTTTTTAACTAAACTAACCGGCACCTTTAAATGCTTTAATTGAAGATGATAAATCAGCTGCAGCACACGCCACATAGTTGGAATCATTTTGTCGGTGGATGCTTCCGCAAGCCACCATCGAGTCAGAGTGTTTGAAGCCGTCCAACCAAAGGTGGCCTCATAAGTGACCACTAACGAGATTGGGTGAGTCAAGAAGGGAGCCAAAGGTGTGGCTGTGCTAAGTAGGAGTTCCTTTTTTATATATTCTATTAGCATCTGATTTGTCATTTATTATCCTCTCGATAATTAATGAACCAAATTAATAGAATTATGACATCCTTTACAAAAATTTCTAATATAAGGCTCCATGACAATTGAAGTTCCCACCATTAAATCTTGCTTCGAGAACTTTCTTTTACATTGACTCAGTCAAACATTCCAATTATGACCAAATGAGTGAATCCATCAGGGGTGAAAACAACAGAGTTTTATTTATATTGCGACCAAATTAATTATTTCAGTTAAATCATGTTAAGATTATAAATCATACATTCCTAATGAAAAATAAGTACTCAACAAAACAAAACAAAATAAAGAAAAAATTTGTTTGGAAAAGATTAGTGTTGCTTTTATGAGTTTTTTTCTTTGCCACATTGTTGAATTTTAATTTGGCATCAAACTTTGCCCATCCCAAATAATCTTTCATTGAAATTGGAATTGTTTACACCAATTTTTTTTTTCTTGCCTTTTAGTAGTTCATGGTTTGATAATAAAAGAAAACCATGGCTAGATAAAAAGGCTCCATCTTTGGGAAAAGAAAAAAAAAAGATTGAAAGAGAAAATATCTTCTGAATTGGCATGCGTCATCAAATCATGCAATGGCCTCCATTCCATCTTAAGATCTCAGCTGTTGATTCTTATCTGAACATGTAATCAAGGACGATGACGATGGCCATGGCGAGACGCGTGTCGAGATCGGACTGGACCACGAGGCGGAACACGTCGCCCCCGAACGCCACGCCTCCCACAGGTTCCTTCTCCCGGATCTCCGCCACCCTCCGCCGCCGCCGATCGTACACGGCGCAGCTCCGCCGCGCGTACGATCCCTCCACCTCGTAGCCGTATGCGCCGCCCCCGCCGCGGCGGCACGGTGTCACGTGAGCGAGCGCCCTGGAATGCAAAAGGCTCACGTGCTTCTTGACGGAGCAGAGAGGGTTGACGGCATCCTCGCCGTCGTAAACCAGCCACTTCTCCCCAAGACTCAGCTTCTGCACTCAAAAACCAGGGCGAGTCACCGATCCGTGCTCACCGAGTTAACTCAGCAATATACTTGCGCCAACGAGCTCTTCCTGCGTACCTTTCGCCGGAGGGTTAGCAGTGGCTTTCCCGCAGCGTCCATGAGCACGACCTCCCCCGTACTCCCAGACCCGTAGGTGTCGACTCGGAAGACCAAGCTTCCCTCGGCATCAAACACCGTGAACCCTCTGCAGCTGAACAGCAGCGACTTCCGCCACACCGTCAGCACCTTAACACCGAAACCGTTCCGGCCGACGTCCTCGCCGGTGGCGCAACAGGCTGCGGCGCTCGGGTGGACCTTCGTCATCATATCATGCACCACGTCGGTGGAGGTTCTCCGGCACGCTGTGTACTTGGCGACGGCAGAGAGGGGAGCTCATATATATAGACGACACATGGACGAAAATACCCCCTATGTCAGAATAATATTTGCGTGCGCATGCAATGGGTTGGGGGAGTTTACGTCAAAGGGGGGCTATAATTAATGCTGGCTGTGTTAATTACCATTACACAGCTGATTAAGTCAACATAATTACGTTATTTACGGAGATGTGAAAGGACACGTGGACGGTTGAAATCGACCGAATGAGTTAGAATACGCACCGGCCTTTGGACGGCTTGGCGGCGTTAGCGAGTCACAACAACGGGTTGAGGCATTCCTCTTTAGCCATGGAATTATGATATATTTATTGAAACAAATTATTTTTGCATACGGATTAAATATAATGTCTTAATTTAACTATGAATAAGATTTAAAATCTATTAATTTGAATATTATGGAGCTCAAAGGATTGATCTCAAGGCTTATATATCACTGATTTCTTTGAGAGGAAATTAATTGGGCAATCTTCCTCCTAAAGTGAGTCAAGATTGTGTTGTTGACAAACAATGCAACGATCACAGATATTTTTGGGCCATTTTGCAAGCATGTCATTCATTATATGTGGCATAATCTCCACCATAATAATAGTCAAACCGAGTGCATGGGGTGAGATGTGCTTCGATTTCTAAGGATGTCGGCAATAGAAAATTAATTTTCAA